CTAAGAATTTGAATGGTGATATTTTAAACATGGCTAAACAGCAAAAATAAAAGCTGACTTTAAAAATTAGTAGGAAATACTGGTACATTTGAAGCCTCTACCTTCACACATGCAAGACTATAGGAAGGGGAATAAAGCTAAATGCAAGAATAAATAATAATCATATTTTCCTTCCTTCCTTCCTTCCTTCCTTCCTTCCTTCCTTCCTTCCTTCCTTCCTTCCTTCCTTCCTTCCATCCATCAGAAAATTCTGTACAGTTCACACTATGTCAGACTTTAGCTCTTTGTCTAAGTTCTTGTACTGTGTGTTACTAATAGAAACAGTTAAGCACACTGAAGCAGGTGTTCAGGTTTTTTTACCAACTGGGGATGAAAATAGATTTGAACAATCTCCATAGATTCTGTTATTCCCAGTTTGAACCTTGCTGTCATCTGAATTTAAATCTTCAAAGCTTAATATCACTAAATTAATTATAGGCAGTATTTTTATGGCTAATAAGTACCTAAAGATGTTAAAGATGGGGAAGGTTTTTCACCTATAACGTAATTTGCAATGCTTTATTTAAACTTCTATTGTTATCTCTGTTTATCTGCATCCTAAGCATTCTTTACAGACACTTATGTTTCTGAACAAGACTTGTTCATATGTATTGTTTTGCACTAAATGTTACAGCTTAACAAAGCAGTTAATGTTCATAAATATTAAACATGTTCATAAACATAAATCCTGGCTGGATGGCTGGATTCCAAGGGTCATGGTGAGTGGTGCTACATCCAGTTGTTGGCCATCACTAGCAGGGTTCCCATGGTTCACTACTGGGGCCAGTTTTGTTCATATTGTTATGGATGGTTTAGAAGAGGGCAATGAGTGCACCCTCAGTAATTCTGTAGATGACAGTGAGTTGGGCAGAAATGCTGGTCTGCTGAATGGTACAAAGGCTCTGCAGAGAGTTTGGGACAGACTGGATCGATGGGCTGAGGCCAACAGCATGAGGTTAAAAAAGGTGAAGTGATGGGTCCTGCACTTTGGTCACAACAGCCCCATGCAGTGGTACAGGATGGGGAAAGAGTGGCTCAAAAGCAGCCCAGCAGGAAAGAATCTTGGAGTTCTGGTCGACAGCCCAGGTGACCAAGAAGGCCGATGGCACCTGGCCTGTATCAGAAATAGAGTGGCCAGCAGAAGCGGGACAGTGATCATCCCCCTGTACTGAGCAAAGGTGAGGCCATACCTCAAATCTTATGTCCAGTTTTGAGGCCCTCACTGCAAGAAAAACATTAAACAGCTGGAGCATGTCCATGTGGAGCTGGTAAAAGGTCTAGAGAGTGAATCATATGAGGAATTGCAGAATGGTCCGGGATTGTTTAGTCAAAAGAAGAGGAGGTTCAGGAGAGATCTTATCACTCTAAAACTATCCTAAAGGAGGTTGTAGCCAGGTGGGGGCTGACATTTTTTCCAGGCAACCAGTGATAGAACAAGAGGAAATGGCCTCAAGCTGCATCAGAAGAAGCTCAGGTTCGACATCAGGAATAATTTATTCACTGAAAGAGGAGTTAAGCACTGGAATGGAGTGCCCATCCCGGTGGGTCACCATCCCAGAAACATTCAAGGAAAAACTGGATATGGTGATTAATGCAACGTTTTAGTTGATGTGGTGCTCCTTGTTGAAATGTTGGACTCTGTGATCTTGGAGATCTTTTCCAACCCAAATGATACTATGATTCTATGATTCTAAATCACATCAGCCACAATCTTCACTAAGATCTAACTATAGAATTCCAGTTCCACTGATCTATGCTGATATTATGTTGGGCAGCTATTAGAGACATTGTAATTGATGTTTTCAGGCAGGGAAGGAAAAGGATACATGAAGGAAGTGTTCTCTTTATAGAAACAATATTTCAGCTATTTTTGAAACTTTAAAGGCAGAATTTTTGACAAAAACTACTTATTCTTTACTATTATACCAGGTGTATGTAACAGATACGTAATTTCTGGGAGTTGCACTTGAATATATACATTAACTGTTAGTGCAGCTTATCCAGCTGTATTCACTGATATATGATAGATAACAAGCCACCCTGTGATGTGACATCCCTCTCTTCATCACAGGGGGGATGTCTAGGGTTGACCCCATCCTCTACCACTATCACCAATCCCCTTCCCATTCCTCAGGTGTGGCTCTGGGATGTGGTTCTGACCAGCAGCAAATGCAGCCTGCACCCCAGCGGAGCAGAGTGATCTAAAGTGGCAGTGCTGGTGTGGGAAGCAGCTGCAGGAAACAAAACTCAGCCAAGAGAAGCCTGAGCCCAGAGCAATAGAGTGGCAACACAGTGCGACATGAAAAATTTACTTCTTAGAGGTTTGTCCATCATTGTTTTCCATTGTCTTGGAATTAGGGATGGGGAAAGCCATCTATGGGAAGCTCCTACCAACTTGTCTTTGTGTGGGAGAGCACACATGGTGCTGGGAACAACTGCCACTTTATCTTTGTATGGGGAAAGCCACAGAGCACAACCTAAGGGGAGTGGCACCATCTTGTCTTTGTCCTGGTGGCCACGCAGAGCTAGGTCAAGGTGAAGAACACCCTTTGAGTGTAAACACTGTCTTAGGTTGCAAGATGTGGCTGGGGGTGTGTATTCTATTGCCATCAGTTAGAAGTGGGACAGTTTTCTTCTGTTAATTGGGCCATCTGTTAAAACCAGGTGGGGCAGTTTTCTTTATCTCTTCCACAACCAATCTTCCCTCTAGGAGATATCTTCTGTTAATGGGCCATTGAGTCTCCCTGCATGACTGATAAAATTCCATCATCCCATTGGGAGATGCTCCACCCAGTGCGAGGAGCCAAGCATTCCTACCTGGATATAATCTGGCATTTGGAATGCTACAAGAAGCCTTCTCCACTGGATTCCCAGAGGAAGACCAGGTCCATGTACACCACCACCACTGGACCTTCAGAGGAAAACTACATTCTTGTAGAGGATCACTGCTTCAACATAACCACATCTGTCACTCCAGGAGGGCTGCAGCCACCATTTCAATTAGGCTGCTACCTACATCATGACCAACAGGGCGTCAAGTCATATTCTGACTCTGTCAGTATTTTCTATTACTGTATTTTTATGTGGGTTTTTTTGTTTGGTTGGGTTTTTTTTGGTTTTTTTTTTTTTTTTTTCCCCCTGGTAAAGAACTGTTATTCCTACCTCCATATTTTTGCCCGAGAGCCCCTTAATTTCAAAATTATAGTCATTCGGAGGGAGGGAGTTTACATTTTTCATTCCAAAGGAGGCTCCTGACCTCCTTGGCAGACACCAGTCTTTTCAAACCAAGACAAGTACCTTTTTATTTGTTATTAATATTGCTGCTAATACTGTGCATTTCTTACTCCACGGCTGTTTGCTTTCAGTAAACTGTTATCTCAACCCATAGCCTCTGCCTTTGCCCCTCTCTTGCCAAAGGGGGTGTTGGGAAGAGGAGTGGTTTATTTGTAGGTCTAATTTCTGACTGGTAGCAAACCACTGCAGTAGTTTAAAGCAGATTAGAACACGGTCCTACCTAGCTCTGGATTAAATAAAAATCCATGTATTAAAAGCCATGAATACAGGTTGACATGATAAACATAAAGTATGTCTGAGTAGCTAAATTCAGCATTTATCTATACTTTCTGGAAATTGCAACATCATGTAATTAAGGTTTTCTTTATATAAACAGAGGAGATTAATTATGGTATTTTAAATAGCATTATGGAATAATTGACAAAACTGTTTTCATTTTCATGGCTACTGTTACACACTCATCAGAAAATATTAATCCAAATATAACTAAACATTCTCCTGAAGGAGCTTAATTTGTAGGTTTTTGTGGTTTTTTTTTTTAAAGAGAACCGTCATCATCAGAAAAACTATGTTGAATATGCTATTGGACAAACCATGTGATATGAAATGTCTCACAGCTTATATATAGAGTTCATAGAATAATATTTTTATAAACACATTATTTAGTAAAAATCTCCTTCAGCACACACAAGCCAGAAGGCAATCTGTGCTCCCCCTCCCTCTATCCAAGCCAAAAAACCAAAACCAGACAACCAAAATCCCCCAATTAAAAAACAAACAAAAAAAAAAAAAAAAAAAAAAAAAGTGGCCGACAGTAAACCTTTCCAGTTGCTAATAAAACAATTTCCACATTTTTCTTGTATCACTGTACTAGCTGCATTGTGCATTCCTTTTCTAACTATTCAGCTGCTCTACACTTTCCTTTTGAGTCTTTTGTGTTGTGTATTAGTAGCAAGACCACATTTATAGTTATCCAGATAGAGAGAAAAACTGTAAAGGGCTGGAAAAATATCTCTGCGTAAACCATATTAAAGATGCAAAACTAAGCTGAAACCTGTTGCAGAAAGCAGAAGCAGAATCCAGTCCAGTTTCTGTTGATAAAACTTGATGAATCAGAAGTTCAAGTTTTTGGAAGATATCTGGCACACAGCCTCTATTATCAGGTTAAGCCAGATGTAATTCTAAAGGATGTATGTAAACATGCTGAAATTTCACCTTCTGTTTTCCTTGATGCAACTACTTTACATCAAATAACAATTTTTTTTTTTTTTACAAAAGAAAAGTTGATTCAGTTAAATGACTTAATGAAATCCACATAAAATTAAATCTGAATGTAAAAAAAACAGAAATAATTTTTACTCTAGGATAGTGATTCCAAGAGTGAAACCAGAATCAGAGAAAGGAACAGATATTTATTCATCCAGTCCCAACCACCTTATAAATTTTAGATTTTGTTATAAATGACTAAATTTATACAAAAGCAAATTTAATATGTTCAAGACATTTAATAGCAATTTCTAGTCAGGCTTAAAAAACCTTCAGGGAAGGGAATGCCAGGAGCAGAAGAAAAAAGAACACAGAAAAATTTTCTTTGGCACAAAGTCTCACTATTAAGAGCCTTGTTTCATGTTTGGTCAATTAAAATGCAGTATATTAAAATATAGTACCTTATAACACATGCATAGAGCCCGCTGTCTTGTACCAGTGTTGGTCTGAACCAAATGGAGTCTTCTTCTTTGCTCATTCTGGTTCCATCAAAAGCTATAGGTTCCTCAAAATCTCCAGGTCCAGAGCTTTTGTACCACATCAAACTAAGTCCAGCACTTTGGGCTAGGGAGTAATTAGCTCTAATATATCCATAAAAGAGTGCACATTTTATACGAACAGGTTCTCCCACTAGAACTTGATATTTCTTGTAATCCACAGACCAGTCAGTGCATCCATCAGCTACAAGAGAAGAGAAAATGTATTTCAAAGAGATTGTCAAAGGCTTTGGAAAGCACTATTCACAAAGCAGTCTTTATTGTGGGAAAGTATTGTTTTTGAAAAAAAGGTCCATTGAGGCACTAGCAGTATGCTTTTTATCCCTGAAAAATTAACTGCATTTTCATGATGTTTATCTCTTGTACTCGTCTATAGTGAACAGAGCTATTAGGACATACATTGCTAAATGTTGATAATCTCTGAGCAGTAACTGAGCAATTGCTCTTTTATCTTTTGTGGAACTCCAGCGTGACCAGTTATAAAATGCTGAAGTGAAATTAGTGCAACACAGAGGGCATGTGGTTCACAGGGTGTCACCATCTAAATTGCATCAATCAGATATTTTCAGTGTTACCATGTAAGTGAAAGTCTCAGAAGATATTAGGACAAGGAGCTGTGGTCTGAACCGTATAGTAGGAAAGTTTAGCATAGATTTGAAGGAGGAGAAGAAACTGTCTTTACAATAAGACCAGATGCACAAAAAGTTACTTCCAGGAAAATTACTATCAATAATATAAATAGATTATTCAAGAACATGTTAAATAGATCTTAGTTGGAATTCCTGACTTTCCAGAACTACACTACAAATTGTGGTTATTAATGTTTTCTTTTTTTTTTTTTCCTGTAGAATAACATCAGCCCTTACCAATACTGTCCCACAATAACTGCTCATCAGAAAGCAAAACTAAATTTATTTGACATGCTGAACCCCAGGAAAATAACTAAACCCCAAGGCCAAAAAACCACCAAACTGACACCTGCTTCCCCTCTATTTTTAGTTAATACCAAAACAACAAAAGTAAAAGGCAATTTTCTACTATGCCTTCCTTAAGAAAAGTTTATATTTTTTAAAGCAATTTCAACCATGAAAATTCACCATTAGGTTCATACACTAAAAAACTGTGTCCATTCTCAGCTAGTTAACTAGGCCCCAATCCAGTCAGTAAAAAGCAATCAGTACATCCAATGACAATTTATTTCTTCTTAATGCTATGTCTCACATGAATATTTTGTCTTTGAATTTGACACTTTATTAACTTTAAAAGAGCTCAGATAGCTAGATAGCTATCTTAGAAAATCAACTTTTGAAAAACTCTCATTTCATCCTAGAATTGTACAGAGAATTCCAGCTACTGTGCAAGGTAATGCAGTATTTGCACTTTAAACTTAGACAATATTTTTATCTGTTACTTGGGAGAAAAATATACTAGGTAGTGATTTTTTGAGTCCTGTATTTGGGTAATGCCACAGTACTTATTATGTATTGCAAAATAAGAAAGAATCAGACATTTCCACACATCCCTGTGTAAGCAATACCCTAAGTTGATCCAGCATAGAAAGATGGGGCAAAAGTGAATGAATTAGAGTGAGTGAAAATTTAGAGTGAATTTGCACTGTGAACAGAATTCACACAGACAGATATTTCGTATATCTTTGGACTGTCTCCTCCTGCATTTACTTTTATGACCACGAAGGGAAAATAATATGTCCCTGTTCCAATTTTCCTACACAGTTCCTAAAAATTAGTAAGTGTTTTTACAAGGCCCCAGTAAGACTTAATTGTACTCATGCATAAATTGAAGTGAATGGAAACAAAGCTCACTATTAGCTTCCCCTTAGGACCAAAGAAGCTAACTTTCATGTATTCCAGGATTCAATTACATCTTTTATCATTTCATTTTTACCTCTCTGAAAGAGCATTCTCTCTCACCTGATTTTATTTCTCTCTGCATCTAAATCCCAATGCCAAAAATGAATTAACAGTCAGCTCTAAGCAGTGTTAATTTTATTATATAAGTTACCAGGTAATAACTTCTTCATCATACTTTATCATCAGATTGTAACCTTGCTTTTCACTGCTTAATTTAGCTAGTACATGATGGTTTACATTATTAGTTTGTAAGTTATGTCTTCTCTCTCAGGATATTCAGTTCTAATGGTTCCCAATTCCTTTAACTTGCAGAATCCATAAGAATGCATTGCTGAATAATACCAACTCAAGCTCTTTGTACTGGATGAAGGGTAGAGGCCAGTGGCTTTGCTTCAGCATGATATTTCTCATAAGGGACCTTGGGGTCCTGGTTGATGGCAAGTTGAGCCTGAGCCAGCAGTGCCCTGGTAGCCAGGAGGGACATCCCTGTCCTGGGGACATCAGGGACAGCATCGCCAGCCAGGCAAGGGAGGGGATTGTCCTGCTCTGCTCTGCCCTGGGGCTGCCTCACCTCGAGTGCTGGGGGCAGTTTTGGGTACCACAATACAGAAAAGACATTAAACTGTTAAAAAACATCCAAAGGAGGGCAGTGAGGATGGTGAGAGGACTGGAGGGGAAACTGTAAGAGGTCACTTGTCTTGCTTAGCCTGGAGAAGAGAAGACCAAGGGGAGACTTCATTGGGGTCTTCAACATCCTCATGAGGGGAAACAGAAGGGCAGGTCCCAATTTTTTCACTCTTATGACCTGTGACAGGACTTGAGGAAATGGCATGAAGCTGTGTCAGTGAAGGTTTAGGTTGGATATCGGGAAACTGCTTTTCAGCCAGTGGCTGGGCACTGGAACAGGCTTCCCAGGGAAGTGGGCACAGTACCAAGCCTGACAGAGTTCAAGTGTTTGGATAATTCCCTCAGACACATGATGTGACTCTTGGGGTGTCCTGTGCAGGGCCAGGAGTTGGACTCCATGATCTGATGCATGCCTTCTAACTCAGCATATTCTATGATTCTAAAAAAGTCTGCTAACAATCATCTGATTTATCTATGTATTCACTGAAGTATTTATTCATTTTTTTGGCACAAAACACATCAAAATGTCCCACCAGATATTTTAAGAGAATATCTACTTGTCCTGGATTCAGCTGGGAGAGATGTAATTTCTTTATAGCAGCTGTTACAAGTGCTGTGTTTTGAATTCAGAACTAATGAGCCCACACCTGGAGTGCTGTGTCCAGCTCTGGGCTCCTGAATACAAATGATATGTGCAGACTGTAGTGTCCAACAAAGGCCCACAAAGCTGATTAAGGGACTGGAGCATCCCTGCTATGAGCGCAGGCTGAGAGCTGAGACTGTTCCGCTTGGAGAAGGCCTAGGGGGGACCTTAGTAATGAATACAAATACCTGAAGGGAAGGTGCAAAGAGCCAGGCTCTTTCCACTGGTGCCCAGTAATAGGACAAGAGGCAATGGGCACATATTGAAACACAGCAGGCTCTTTCTGAACACCAGGAAACACTTTTTTTTTCTGTAAGGGTTACTGAAAATTCACACATGAGGTTGTGAACTCTCCATTCTTGGAGATATTTAGAAGCCAGAGAGACATGGTGCTGAAAAACCATTTCTAGGTGGACCGCATGACCTACAGAGGTGTCTTCCAACCTCAACCATTCTGTAATTTAGTGCTCTATTACAGTTACACTCAGTGATAACCTTAAGGAAACATATGTCCTCTTCTCAAAGTGGTCTTTGAATGAAATGAACATGAGAGTGCATCTCTTCCTGCTTTCAGAAATATTATACCACTTAAACTACCAACACTGGCATTCAAGTCACTTAGAACTGTATTAACCTTATTACAGCTGGAAGGCTTGATACCTTAAAAATCTTCCAGGAAAATCCTCACACTCAGCCAATGTGCTAATCTATGTGAAGGTGCTAATTCAGTTTTGTCAGATATAATAGAAAATCATCATTCCCATCATAAGGCACACTGTGATATTTTCTGATAGTTGATATTTCAGGACATAACTGTTGATCTCTGCATAAAATGCTCCCAATTCCACAGTAACTGAGAAACATAAACAGAAGCTTAAAACCACATAATGAAAAGGAAAACAGACTGTCATGTTCTTAAAAATAATACTGTGAACATTCAGATGATGAGAGCATGCATGCACCATAACCAGCACTTTCTATGTACACACTGCATGTGCTGTATAGAGCACGCATGCGTTTTCAGTCTAGAAAAACTTGGATGTATCAAAAACTAATTAAAAGCCCAATTTCTAGACTCCTTGAAGAACATAAAGATACATTTTAAAAGACCCAAAAATATATTTCATATTTCATATTCATATATTTGATTTTTATATTGACATTACTACCTTAATAATGTTACATATTTACATGTTAAATGTGTGCTACTGGCTTTGTAAAGAGGGACAGAAAACAAAAAAGGTTTAATATTCATTCTGATTGTTTAATAGTAAATAAATTGAATATTTCTAGTCAGTTTCATATTGTAACTGTGTCCATTTCTACCTTGACTAGATTTTTCTTGTTTGTGCAAAAGTAGGACATTGACCAAATTATCTAATGTTACTTCTCTTAATTATGGTTGCTACTGACCCAAAATCAACACATTCAATTATGGTGGTTCAAAACAACTATGGGGAAAAAAATAGACTCCATACTTTTCAATGTTTTTATTTATACCATCGCATCATCAAGTAGTCAATCATGTTTTATAAATTGAAATATACTTGAATAATTCAACAGCTTTGAAATTTCAGAAATGCCCTCAAAAGAATGGTTGTAGTCCCTAATCTCTATTTTAATGTGCTGCCTGTTATTGCTACACACAATTTGCACAATGCAGAGTCCAGGATAAATATAATCCACTCAGTTATTTCCTTGAGTGATTTCAGGGTATGAAATAAACCACACTGCATCACTCTCCTAATAATGAGATTGCTCTGCTCAATACACAAGTGTCTTGCAGGCTGTATCTGCTGGATAGGACACAACACAGAATATTCAACATTACTAAGAAGGCCTTCCCTTTAATTTTTGGTATCATATGTATCATTTTCAAGGCAAAATACAGTGCTGAAAAGGAAAAAAATATTAAGTTAATAACTCCTGGGTCTGCTGCTATAGCCTGATCTCATTCAAAAGCTTCAATTCAATATATAGGTTTCAGGATTAGAAAAGGTCTTCACTTTTTCAACATATTGGTTAAAATCTGATTTCCAGACA